CACTGTTTGGCTTTCCACGGTTTCAGTGACCCGAGGTCAGCCATGTTCTGGAAGCAGTGATTCTGACCTAGCCTCAGAAGGTCAGCAGTAGCTTGATGTTAGGTCACGGTACCTACCTCATTACCTCACTTCATACTATTGGTTAGGCATTTTTTTCTAAAGATTTTATTTGAGAGAGAGCACAAGCAGGGGTGGGGGGTGCATGGGGCAGAGGGAGAGGGAGAAGCAGACTCCCTGCTGAGCAGGGAGCCCGATGCGGGGCTCCATCCCAAGACCCTGAGATCATGACCTGAGCCAAAGGCAGATGCTTAACCAACTGAGCCACCCAGGCGCCCCTCATCAAATAGGCATTTTACCATCTCACATTATCATCCTAAGGAGAAAGGTGAGCCCAGTACCATAAGGTATTTTGAAAGGGAGATCACATTCACATAACTTTTATTACAGTATATTATCATTGTTCTGTTTTATCAGTGGTCATTGCTGTTAATCTTTCACCATGCGTAATTTATTCATTAAACTTTATCATAGGTATGTATGTATAGGAAAAAACAGCGTACATAGGGTTCAGTACCATCCACAGTTTCAGGCATTCTTTGGGATCTTGGACCATATACCCCGAGGATGAACACGGGACTACTGTAGATCTATAAAGCGATAGCTTCCTTGTAATACAAATTAACGTTTTGGTAGTAGATTTTAAGAGGATTAACAAATGCTGAAGTCTGTAGGAGTCAGACAGGGAATAAACCAGTGAAGCGGGCCGGGAGACAGCGCATGCCTGGGTCTTGTGAGCCGTGGGCATTACAAAAGAGCCCCTGTGCCTTGGCACCAGCCAGGTGTTGCTGTGCAGGAATGCTGATGAACCACCTCTTCTGCGTTTTTTGAGAGACGCCAAAAAATCCAATTTATTTGAAATTTTCTGACCTATAAATGTTGGCTGAAATAGAAACCATACCTGTGAGCTGCTTCTTTTTTTTTAATTTTTTATTGTTATGTTAATCACCATACATTAATTACATCATTAGTTTTTGATGCAGTGTTCCATGATTCATTGTTTGTGCATAACACCCAGTGCTCCATGCAGAACATGCCCTCTTTAATACCCATCACCAGGCTAACCCATCCCCCCACCCCCCTCCACTCTAGAACCCTCAGTTTGTTTTTCAGAGTCCATCGTCTCTCATGGTTCATCTCCCCCTCTGACTTACTCCCCTTCATTCTTCCCCTCCTGCTATCTTCTTCTTTCTCTTTTTTCTTAACATATGTTGCATTATTTGTTTCAGAAGTACAGATCTGTGATTCAACAATCTTGCACAATTCACAGTGCTCACCATAGCACATACCCTCCCCAATGTCTATCACCCAGCCACCCCATCCCTCCCACCCCCCACCACTCCAGCAACACTCAGTTTCCTGAGATTAAGAATTCCTCATATCAGTGAGGTCATATGATACATGTCTTTCTCTGATTGACTTATTTCACTCAGCATAACACCCTCCAGTTCTATCCACATCGTTGTAAATGGCAAGATCTCATTCCTTTTTATGGCTGCATAATATTCCATTGTGTATATCTGTGAGCTGCTTCTATCTAGCCCAACCGCTGCTGGCTTGTGATATCTGGCTGAATGTGAGCGCCTATGCCATCCTGGCTAGAACGTTAAGCTCGAAACCTATCTGTTTTGCTTGATGAATATCATAAATATCTAAAATGGTACCCAGTACATAGTAGGTGCTCAGTAAGTGTATGTTTTATGAATAAATAAAGCTAGATTAAGTCTCTCTGACCCATGCAGAATAGTGTATAGAAAAATAGACATATGTTGAATTTTTTTAAAACACTATTTCTGATCTTTTTTTGCTGTCAGCTGGCCAAAATTCCTACTTATCATTCATGTCACTCAGCTCTTGTCCCTTTTCTGAAAGCCCCTTTCCTAACAGCCCTGCTCTCCCTGTGCCCTGCTCTACCCTGAGTCTAATGTAGACATCACTCCTGGGCTCCCTTGTACTCCAGGATGGCCTCCACCATGGTCCCCTACCTACCGTGTGCCCTGATTACCACTCATCTTATATCCTCATGGGCTGAAAACTTCTTGAGGACAGGCTGGTATCTGATTTCTTATCCCTCAGCATTGAGTAAGCATTTAACAATGTTTGTTAACTTCACTGTCTTTGTAGTACTGAATTGTTAGAGTAAGCACTCCAGTGTTTTCTCTACTACTCTGCTTTTCCTTTTCTGTGCTACCTTTCAGTTTTGCACAAATGTCCCACCGTTGCTCCACTTCTATATTCAGCAAATGTTTTTGAACTCTCTTAGAACGAAGTCACAGCCTTGACCTGCAAAGATCAACAGTCTGAGCAAACAGACCTGTGTAAAGAACTGTGCGTTGAATTTCATGATAAAGGGGGAAAAAAGGGCTATGAGAATATGGAGGACATTCCTTATGATTTAGGGAGTCTGGGAAGGATTTAGAACCCTGTCCAAGTTTTGCATGAAGGGGAGGCATTTTCTCCTACATCGGGAGTGGTTCTCAGAACAACGACTCAGCTGCTATGCTTCATAGATTACAGAATGGGCTGTGTATATCCCCGGGCACCCTCCCGTACAAAGTACTTCCCTCTTGACAGAAAGAAGACATTGATGACTTTCTAGATGTGGGTGAGAACAGAAAACATAGAACGGGGGAGAGGTGAAGAAAATCAGTAGGTGCTCACTCCCCATTCAAATGGGTTGGTAATGACAAGGAGAGAACTCAGAGGAGGCAGTGTGCTTCTTCCAGATCAGAAAGATCTGTATATTTTTAAATCAGGGGTTAAGGAATTACTGGTAGACAGGATTATAAGAGAGCCAAAAGATAAATATTGGAATAAGAACTTTTAGGTCATGAAGGCATGTGATCTGGATCACAAGGAAGAGGGATTCAGTTTAGTATTAAAAAAAATAAATAAATGTTAAGTAGTGTAGGGAATCGATTATCTTAATGAAAGGGCAAAATCACAATATTAACTTGATCACAGCTTAATATTTATCCTGATGCCCTTTGAGAGTTGTTTAAAATAAATACGTGTGTGTACTCTGCCTCAGTCCAAAAAGGATCTGAAGAGAACTGTACAGATTTCTGCAAAGTAAGTGAGTCTCCTAAGATATTCTGGTATAGTTTTAAAGTTGCCCTTCAGAACAAAAATCAAGTCAAGCAGAGCATGTTTGTGGATTTAGTCCTTCTATGGCCATTTAAAGGCTACCTACTAAGTACAAACACTGACCTAGAGACTAAACTGTATTTAATTTTACCCCTGTCTCCCCCCACCCCACCCCAGTCCTCTTTCTGGAGGAGTCGGAACACAAGCCAGAGGACCTATTGTTAGAGCGACTTTAGCTGTTCATGATACATTAAGCTAGGTATTGGACATTTTCTAGCCAGGGCAACTTTAACAATGAAATTACTATTTTTTTTCTTTCAAGTAACTCTCAGGAGTTTATTGTTCATGATGTGAACCTAACCAGAAACGGTCTTTTCCCTCTTTTATAATCGTAAATCTTGCACTGGGGAGATAAAGTATGATGGAATCTATGTGAGTATGATTTACTTAAATAGTCACACTTTGCGTATGTGTGGACACCGTGCAAATAAATGGATACATTAAGATTGGACAGCACTTAAAGAGATTTAATAATTCATCCTGTTGCCTCTGCAAATAAAAGAACCAAAGCCCCATTTATGCAATTGCTAAAATATGGCAGATAATGATGCATTCATGTTTAATATTGCTAATAAATTTGAAAATTCACATTTTTATTGATAAACATTTTCTTGAAATGCAGTCTAGGTGGACAGATTGTTAAATTTAAGTACTTTATAAATAAGATTTCTAGATAGTGAATGCGATTAGCGGCACTGCAGCGTCGAGAGCCATCTACCACCTTACCTGCATTCCTAAGCACTCAGCAATGAGTTTCGTATTTCACTTTTATGTGCAACCACAATGCACACAATTTTAGGGGAAAAATTAGCACGGTAACAGTAATGACCACTGTAAATATGGTGCTTCTCCTTGTTGACTTAAATTACGTGCTAACAGTATTTTGGGAAAAGTCTTTTCTGTTAGGCTAGCTTAATATATTGAAATTTTTTTGCCTGTAGGATTTATATATAGAAGAAATACATAAATCTTCTATAAGATTATATCTTTGACATACACACAGAAAAAGGCATATTATACAGTCCAGACAATTTGAGATCCAAGATTATTTTTATTCATTGGGAGCCATAAAATCTCATTAATATTTCTAGCTGCACAGGCTTTAATAAAATATTTCATAGCTCAAGATGCCCAAAGAATTATTTCCTCTTTGGGCTGGTTATCTCTAAAATTTCAAAAAAATTTTGAGAGAAGTGAATTCATACCTTATAGACATTAAATAATATTTCAGCATTCATCTTAAAAAAGCATGACATGCTAAAATATATTTTTTTGTACTGAAAATTTGGCCATCATTAATCATTATACAAAAGTCTTAATGATTACCCTCTGTATTGGCTGGAATATATGATTTTCTGAATTTTACTTCGTATCACTGGTGGACTGACTTTATGTATCATTCTTTTTTCCCAAGATCCCAGAAGCTTATTTCATTAGAGATCCCCATACGTTCCTCCTTACACAGGACTTTATTAAGGTATACGTGGTGTATTTAGTGTTGAGTGTTCTTTGGCCTCAGCTGCATGCACTCACAGGCATAACACTCCCACATTTAACCCCAGCTTCTACGTAAGAATAGCCACTTGGTGAACGGAAGCATGTTTGGAAGGAGAAAGCAAAGCCTGTCTACAAAATACTAACACTTGGATGATTCTGCACCCTGAGAGAAGAACACCCAGTGAATTTTCTGGACTTCTTTCATGGCTGACTTGGGATCCACTTGCATTGTCAGGGAGTGTGTTGACCTCTCTCGTTGATGCACATTGATTATGACAATCACTCTCCTTCCCCTGCAGGCCATGGAGGCCCAGATACAGAACTTTGGACAGACGCCATCTCAGTTGCTTATTGAGCCACATCCGCCTCGGAGCTCTGCCATGCACCTGGTAAGACAGAGCAGCCTGAAAAGAAAGTTTTCTGCTTTCTTTGTACCTGGGTACGCGTCAAGTCAGATCGTCATTTCAGCAGCGTTTTTAAAGGCTTCTCGGTGTATTGGTTAAGTCTTCAGGCTCAGTATATGCTGATACCCTGCGGAGACACAGAGGGGAGTGCGGTTCCTACCTTTACGTCCTGCCACACTCACCCAATTTGGGGTTCACAACAATTGCCTTCTTCTCTGACTTTAGCCTCTGCCTAAACTCATTCAGACACATAGAGGCACCAGAATTAGATTTGATTTATAAGGTAGGATGAAAATATAATAGCAACACAATATGATATGGCCCAATTTAATCTTTTGGGGCAAGGTTGAGTAGGGGGAGTAGCTCATTTTAAGAAGAGGGCAGAAATACAGAGGTAACTTGCAGAGGCAGGAGGGTTTAAAAACAAGGGCTCCAGAGCCAGTCTGGTCAAACCCCAGCTCTGCCTCTAGCTAGGGAATGACCTGGGCAAGGTATTCAACCTCCCTGTTTACGTTGCAACATCTGTTACATGAAAGCAAAAATACCATCTGCCTTGAGAATTTCATGACTTAATACCATAGGGCACTTAGACCAGCACCTGGTGTGCAGCACGTTCTCAATAAATGTTAGCTGGTGTCATCATCACCACTACCTCCTCATATTAAAACTTGTATTCCCGTTTTACAAGGGAAGAGGTAATATTCTTTTCATTTTAATCGGAATTTTAAAAGCTCATTTTCTTTTTTTTTAAAGCTCATTTTCATAACAAAACAGGCCTTTTTCAGTCTATTAGCAAATTGTACAACATTTCCCTCTTTAATTTGAAGACGGTACATTTTTTCCGAGAAACTTCTGTGGAAGGCATTTTATTTTTTAAGCTGTGGGTTTTCACTGATTTCTTTACTGAAGTGAAAAATGCTTGAAGGTAAAAGAACATGTTTGCAAAATGAATTAAAGTTCATCCATTTTTCTAGGCAGTTATCAAGGCAGCAAGTCCCCTAATTTTGGAGTAAAGAGCTCTGAAATATGGTCCATAGTATATGTGCAAACAAATTTATAAGCTGTTATTTTGTGGCGGAAGTACTGTTCAGACCTTTCATTTATTTTTTCAGTTAGTAAATTCGTATCGAGTTCCTTCTGTGTGTCAGGCATGACGCTAAGCAACTGGCAACACAGAGGGGGCTGCATCCTCCAGACCTATCGAGTCAAACTCCTAGTGAAACAAATAAATGTGTTTGTTTGAAAACGTTTTTTCTCTCTACAATGGCTCCAACAGCTTCAGCCCCTTTGGTCACTAATGAACTCTTCTGCTTGAAATTGGTCCTTGCTTGTGACAAAGCAAAGAGGTTGATACCAAGCACACGGTTTCATATGAACACACAGTCACAGTGTAGACAAGGGGAGGTGGCCTTGGAGCCTCAAGCCTTAGATGAATTTTTTTTTTAAAGATTTTATTTATTTGACAGAGAGAGACACAGCAAGAGAGGGAACACAAGCAGGGGGAGTGGGAGAGGGAGGAGCAGGCTCCCCGCAGAGCAGGGAGCCGGTTGTGAGGCTTGACCCCAGGACCCTGGGCTCACGACCTGAACTGAAGACAGACGCTTAACAACTGAGCCACCCAGGCGCCCCTAGATGAAGTATTTTTAATAAGCTAAGAGAGTATCTCTAACACTTTATTTTATGAAATGCTTTGGCAGAAGAGTTTTATTCCCGTGTTAGTTGTCTCTGTTTAATAATAATAATAAAAATACTTATCCTGGAGAAGTGCCCAGTCAGGATTCATTGCTTTCCTGGGGAAAATTGTGAGAGACTAAATTGGCATGGAACTGCTCATAAAGGAAACCTAAAACCTTCTACGTTCGTGGAGCAGACACTTCATACGTATAGAAAACAATTACAGAACATTTATGAACGCGACATAATGGCTATTTCCAGCATCCCCATTTTGGGCTTTCAATGCAGGAGTATTGATGGTGTTTTATAGTTGCTGGAACTGTAGCATCGATAGTGTCTGCTGTCTGTCGAGGCACATGCTAGACGTCTGAAAGCACAGACTGAAGGAAGGAAAAAGGGGTAGCCCTCAGCAAGCGCACAGTCTAGAAAGGAGGCGTCAGCCATAACCAGTCAGGATTGCCACAGCAGAGATGCGTGCAAAGCTCTGACGGGGAAGGCCAGTATATTTTAGTTATTTAGATTGCAGCCATGACGCCAGATCAGCCAGGTAAAAAGTGAAAGTATCAGTCCATTCACCTTATCTTTCATGTAAACAGTGTCAGTCCCTGACTTCACTAATTTTTCCACTCAACTGACGTTTTTCACCGCACTGAATAATGCTGCTGCATCAGGAGACGGACCTGGGAGCTCACGTCTCACCCCGCAGTCTCGAGAGGCTTAGACTGAGGCTGGTCGTGAATGATCTCGTGTCCTCAGCCGGCGGTGGCACAGGGCCCTTGCCCCTTTCCCCATGCCATCCTCCCCGGATGGAAGTTCAGGTTGCTTTGCTCTCTGCTCATGCTAGCCTCGTCTGTGTTAACCTCCGTCTCCCCAGAGCTTTCACTAACTGTGTTATCCCTTCTGTTTTCTTCTGCTCTCTTCCCTTTCTATTCAACAGTGTTTCCTTCCACAGAGTCCACTCATGTTTAAAGATCAGATGCAACAGGATGTGATCATGGTGCTGAAGTTCCCATCAAATTCTCCGGTGACCCACGTAGCAGCCAACACACTGCCCCACCTGACCATCCCTGCGGTGGTGACTGTGACCTGCAGCCGGCTGTTTGCGGTGAATCGATGGCACAACACAGTAGGTATGTGTGTCCAAGCGCATCACTTACTAGAGGGGTCTTAGGAGGTGCAGTTAAGTGAAGGTAAGTGCGCTGGGGGCTAGCTGGTATGCCAGATTATCTACGGACAGCAGCAGAGCAAATCGGTGCCAGACCTGACAAGAGGAGCCTTGTCTGTCTCATCCACTGTTGCTCTGTGTTGGGGCCTCACCGAATGCTTGGCTGATGGTTAAGTGTTCAATAAATATTCAATAAATTGAAGCAGGTCTACAGCTAACTCAGGTCCTCCCACCCTACCCTATGCCTGCCCCACAGGAAAAAAGAAAAACCACTTTTATCCCATATTTAACAAAAGTGAGTTTGAATCTGGTTTCAAATTCTCTTTCTTCCACTTCAATAATTTAGTTAGCAAATATTTGAATGGCCACTCTGTCAAATAGCCATGAGCACAACAATGAACAAGACAGACACCATCTCCCTCCTTGAGGAGCTGAGAGTCTTTGAGAAAAGACAAAATCTAAATTGTTTAGTGATTTCATGTATGTTTTCTTTAAACTCGTTCCCAAGAGTTCCAGCTGGTACATCTTGAAGTGATAGGATTCTATTATCAAAATTAGACATATTGATACTTACCTAACCAGGACAGAAGTCGATGTGACCAAATGATTTAGTTGGCCAAATTCACCCCTTACGATATCCTCGGAAACCCCAGGACTCTCACTGTCTCCAGGACTAAATGGATAAGCCATGGTAAATTAACCTGAATTTTTCTATTCTTTTGACTTCTGTATTGCTCTGAAAAACGGTATCAAGTATATCATAGCTTATTCTTCTAAGAATTTCTAAATGCACTTATTTTATGTTTATCGGTGATACTATCAACATGAGGTATAACTAATTCCATTTGATCAGAAAGATGCAACAAACATCTTAAGAAAAAATATAACTTTATTATTCACAGAAGTCTGAGCCTCTAGAAATATTTTGCATTGAGAAAAAAACTGTAAAGGATTAATTTTTTCTTTAGCATTGTTCAAAAGTATTATATATGTTATATAATCACATGTAAAAAATTATGACTAATAACTCAATCAAGCCCTAAATATTAATCCTCTGGTAGTAGCTTTTCCTGAGCTTAAGGTCTTAGGTGTGGCTCCATTTTTTACCTTCAATTGACTTGCCATCTATTGACGGAAAATGGGAGTCCCATCTTCCCCTCTGCCCTGGCCCAGGTGAGCCCTGCCATGCTCACGCCCACCCCCGCTTGCAGACACAGCTTCATAGATTTCAAGCTCATCGGTTGCCCGGAATCTCAGCTCGCTGATGGGCTCAAGAAATGTTGTGATCTTCTGTTATAGGCGGCTTCTTCTTGTTGTTAGGATAAGAACACTGTTTCCAGCTTCCTACATCTGACATAGAAGCCAGCGTCCCTGTTGTGGATGGTTTCTTTTGAGAATATCTACAAAGATGTGTAGTATGACCATCATTCTTACAACAATTTGCCAAATAATTTTTAAGCAATACAGCTTTTCTACAATCATCATAGAACACTGCTTATTAGGAAGTTCCTTCTCTCTGAGACTTTTGTGGTAGTTTTCTCCTTCTGTTTAAACTTTAGGCCTCAGAGGAGCTCCAGGATACTCTTTGGATCAAGCTCATCATCTTCCCATTGAAATGGACCCCCTAATTGGTACGTTAACAACAAAAATACATTTTCATGAATGCTGACTGTCCACAGATTCCTATGTAGTTATTTATTACAAAAGGTAGTCGAATGATAATTTTTCTGCCATAAAATTAGTGTGCAGATAACATTGAATTACCGTCAAGGAGCTGTGTAGATCATAATATGCCATCTAAGGACTTTTTGGTATTTAAGCAAGTATTTGTGGCATTTTCTTGATTTTTTTTTTTAGGAGTTCATTTAAGTTGGTTCTAAACAAGGCAAATCATTCCAAACTGTCCTCTCCTTCAGACTAAACTATTCTTTAACAACTATATATTATTTAAAATATTTAAAATATGTGAGGACTCAAAAAAATCATTGAAGAGAACTAACATGAAAGACATCTTTTCTAGAAATCTCCTTTCAATAGGCCAGTATTTTTTAATTAAAGATTTCATATGAATTGCAAACGTATGAGCTATAACTCTTTGCAAAAGATAATGGAAATATTTTTAAATCATGTACACATTTATTAGCAGATGCTCCAGAACAAGCCCCTTCTTTTTCCTAGGCCTCAATTTCCTATCTGCAACATGACTGATCAGGATGTTTGTCCTGACTTTTTCATGGGATCATGTAGAGAACTAAATTAGGAAAAAAAAAAAGTGGCTTGAAAAAAGTATAAAGCCATATGCAAGTTATGGTATATCGTCCCTTATATTTCTTAATTCTCCCTTCATCTTTGAACCCAGAAATAAGTTAAAAGGCAGTCATTTAAGTTAGTTACTTATACCCCTACACAGAATAGCATTTACATGTCTTTGGGAAGAGATAAGGTTTAGGACTGGGAATATTTTAGAGTCAGTCCAACTATTCCTTTGTCCAAGAAACATCGACAGTGTCACATGCAGCAGGAATGTAACCTTGGAGAAATTAGCAGCTCTCTTCTAATTAATCAAGGACCAATTACACAGTTCTCAAGTGACTCAGAACCATTGATTTTCTTTTTCTTTGCTACCTTTCTCAGTATAATTTGTTTTGGCTTACCTCCCTGGTCGTTGTTATTATAGCATTAGTGGGAGTCCACAAAGAGTAGCACTTCAGTCTAATTGGCGTGAGAGAGTATGGGTGATCGTCTGCATCTCCTGTTTAAGAATTCAGCCCAGGGATTTAGCCTGAAAGGACAGTGCAGAGAACGGAACAGGCTAGCATGCAGACAGGCACTAGGGAAATCAGACGGTGTCTCCGAGTTCCTGACTTTATTCAGATTCAGTCCCAGTGCTGTCCACGGGAGTCTCTGCCTGTCTTCTTCCTCCCCACTCCCTCTCCCATCTTTTCTGTTTGTCTCCTCCCCTGCCAGCCCATTCTGGAAAGGCCTTCTGTTTGTTGACAAGCCAGGTCTTTAAAGCTGCTGACCTAAAGCTCCCTGTGGGGCTGCCCACATAACAACATCCCTTGCTCAAACCTCTCCCCTCTTTTTTCCACATGAATTGTAAATGCCATCAGAAAATGACAGATTGGGGCAACGATTAAGACTTTTTTTTCCTTCTATACCATACTTCACACAATATTTCTTCCTCCTGATTACAGAACTGGTTGGACCCTAATGAACTTGTACATAGTGAACATGTATAGAATTCAAGGCATCTAAATATTTTTATTTTCAATTCATTATCTGACGTCTTCATGTTGTTTTTATTTATTGGGGGAGAGGGAACTGAAGTTTCTGACAACTTTGAGATGTGTAAAATGGTTCATAAATAACCACTGCTACTAAAAATTAAGCTTCTATTCCTCATGGGGAAATGTTAAAATGTTAATAATCTTATGGCCTTAAAAGCCCATTTCTAGATAAAAGAAGCATAAAAATATTCCTTGAAGAACCTCCTGTGGAATCCTTCTTTAAATTCTTTTTTTCTGTGTATGTTTAGCCAATAACTCTGGTGTGAACAAACGGCAGATCACGGACCTTGTTGATCAGAGTATACAAATCAATGCACATTGTTTTGTGGTCACAGCAGATAATCGCTATATTCTTATCTGTGGGTTCTGGGATAAGAGCTTCAGAGTTTACTCTACAGAAACAGGTAAGCTTAACTATGAAATACCTTTTTCTCTTCAAAATGCCTTTGTTAGACCCAGAGCTTAAAATAAAATCATGCTTAATAATGTAGACATTTTCATCTTGAGTGTCAAGATTCAAATTAAATGTTCACGTTGTAAGTAACTCATTATAACTCTATCCATTCCAAACATTAGCATGAGTCCTGATTTCATAGCACAAACGGGACTACTATTCCTTCCCCAAATCAAGTCCAGTAAAAGACCTTAAACCTCCCCGTAGTCTGGCCCAACTCCTGGAGAATGAAAATCATGATTGTGTTGCTTTCGAAGCCATGTCCTTAAAACTCCCAAGGAACATTCTTGCATCATTTTTCAGAAGAAATTGAAGAAAGCATCTGTAGCTGGATTTGAATTAGCTTATAAATTTTCACATTTACAGATCCACTTTTCACAAATCTAGTAAAATAAAGTTAAGCTTATTACCATTTAAAGAAAAATAGCAAATGAATTAAACCTACCGTTTTTTTGTGTGTGTGTTTCAGGGAAATTAACTCAGATCGTGTTTGGCCACTGGGATGTGGTCACGTGCCTGGCCAGGTCTGAGTCATACATAGGCGGGGACTGCTACATTGTGTCTGGGTCTCGAGATGCTACCCTGCTTCTCTGGTACTGGAGTGGGCGACACCATATCATAGGAGACAACCCTAACAGCAGTGAGTATTTGTGTAGAAGTGTCCCATCAGACTACAAGTTTCTTTAAATATATTTTGCTTTTTTTATTTTTCTAACAGCTTTTCCTAGGGTTATAAGGATTCTTTTTTAATTTTATTTTACTTTATTATGTTATGTTAGTCACCATACAATACATCATTAGTTTTTAAAATATGAAAGCTTTAGGTGGCAAAAATCTTTGCTAGAATGTTGTTTGTTATTCTATTGTACCTACTGTAACCTTCAACTTGGGGAAAGTTCCAGGTCTCCTCACATTGACCCTGTAGTTGGCAGTCTTCCCCCAACCTCCAAATGTCTCTATCCTTCAGAAATTTCCTTCAGTATCTCCTCATCCATTAAACTTTGTATAATTTCTCTCAACTGAATATACTCTCTCCCTCCTCTGAATTTCTATAAGGTTTTATTTGTGCCTCAGTGAGGACACTTACTACTTTCTTCCACACAGTCTAGTAAATTTCTCTGTTTATTCGTTTAACAGTGATTGAGTACTCCCTTCAGACTAGGCATTCGGACGGCAAAAACTGAGTAAGACAGTTTCTTTGCTTGTGATGATTCCCAAGTATTTTTATTCAACAGTACTCCCTAAGATATCCTGTAGGGAAAAAATGGGGGACTCCAGAGTAAAATAATTTTAGAAAACAGTGCATTTACTCTTACTATGTAAGTAAGTTCTGAAAGTCTTACTTACACAAACAAATCTGTTGAAATTTGCTTAACCCACAATTTCTCAAACATGTTTTTCCATGGCCTCTTTTGCTAATGGCAGAACAGTTATTATTCTTTGGAATTGTTGTTCTGAGGAAACACTAAAATGGATCACGAGTCTCTCCCTTTCCATTTTAAATCTCCGGTTCCTGGGATAGTGATACACATAATAGGATTTTCAGTATTGTTAGATGAAGGACGCCTGGGTGGCTCAGTCGTTAGACATCTGCCTTCGGCTCAGGTCATGGTCCCAGGGTCCTGGAATCGAGACCCACATTGAGCTCCCTGTTCGGCGGGAAGCCTGCTTCTCCCTCTTCCACTCCCCCTGCTTGTGGTCCCTCTCTCGCTGTCTCTCTCTTTCTATGAAATAAATAAATAAAATCTTTAAAAATATATATATTGTTAAATGAAGAACTAGATAAGAGATTGCCTAGAAATAATCACTGTTTTTAATTACTAAGCTTTCAGTAGTCTCAATGCAAATATTCCCTATAAAATAATGGTGTCTGTACAGTGTTGAAAATGGCAAGTACCTAAACCAGGGCGATTCTACTTGTAATTCATACACTGGTCACAGCTTACACAGTACCTCCCAAACAAACTGAACCATGAGTTTGGGTCCTCTTTATGACAAGATAGAGATAAGAGTTTTCCAGGAATGCTGGGTATCTGCCACTGAAATGTTGTAAGAGTAGTTGACAAATGGACGAGATGCTGTGTTTCAGCTGCGTGGCGGGAGGCTGCCACCCCTGGCCTGTTCGTTCCAGCCTATGAGAAAGCTGAGGATCAAAGCCAGTTGTACGTCTGTCCACCCTTCAAGTCCCACCCACCCCCGCTCTTAAGCATTTTGACAGGAATATTGCAAAAAGAGGAAATGGCTTTTGATTGATAGGAGCAAAGGCCCTATCATAGTAGAGAAGAAAATGAAAATGAAATATATATGAATGAAGGTAGTGGGGGAGGAACTAGATGCAGCCAAATATTATGTGAGGTTTCATTCTTGCTGCTGGAGCTGAAGACCAACAGATGAAGAAACTAGAAGTATATCATGGAGTAACGTCTCTTAGCATAGACACTGAGTGAGTGAAAGTAGTGCGTTATGCGTATCAGCCTCTGCTCTAAGTTGTGAACGAAGTTGTGAACAAACAGACCGGTTTGAGGAAAAAAAATATTCAGTGTTGCTTGATTTCCAGCCAGCTCAAACAGTGAGCTACCAATTCTACATTATAACAAATATCATTCTCTACTAAAAAGTTAATCTCCTTATTTATTCTTTTCTAAAACCATACCATTAAAAAAACCAGAAACTTCATTTTTAGCAGAATCTGTATGTGTGTGTGTGTGTGTGTGTGTGTGTGTGTGTGTGTGTTTACATGTGTATAAGACACTTGATCTACCATGGATGGCTTTCTTATTCTCAAGCATGGCACATTATCACATATATTTTATCTAAATTTATTTTTGCATATTTACAAATCTTCATTTTCATAGTAGTGTAGTATTCATTAGAAAAGTCAAATTAAGCAGCAGGTCTGTGTAGTATCTTCCATCTATATTGATAAAAATTAAAAGATTTTAGATAACAAATTTTTTTTTAAGAAACAGAAGAGTGCTTGAAATCTCATTAAATAACATCTTCAAACTGGAGCTCAGAAATGATGAAAATGGTAGTTCCCAAAAGAGGATTCATTTCTTAAAAGCTACCATCTGGTAGCTGAGATAAGATATTTTATATATCATACTACTATGAGGTAAAGAATTTTTTTACATTTTAAGTTATAGTAATTGTCTGTGTTAGCTACTTAATTTTAATGTGATTTTCTGATGATCTTTTAAATGAAAAGATGGTTAACGATGGTTGCTTTAGTCCATCAGTTATCAAGAAAAATTAAATGTAGTAATACTTAGAATGGTTAAAGTTTCTTACAACAGGAGCTATATAAATAAAAATGTTTATATTGACCCTTAAGAACAAAATTGTGAATATTGTATTTGTTAAATGCAGCATTTTATTTAGGCTCTCAACAAAGACAAGATTATCCTTAAGAAAGTAAGAATGTTATTGATACATATCTTTTACTGTTGCCTCCTTTAATAAGAATTTATTTTTGGTCAAAACTATTGTCATCATTATGACCCTAAATGACTTTATAAAACCCACCTTGCCAAGACTTCTTGAACATTTAATATGGACGTATGTCATATAGCTTTATTTCACCCATCATCCTTAATATAAGGGGGGGGGGAAATGCTCTTCTAGAATAAACAGGATGATCACCTAAAGTGTTAGGCAAGCAACAAGCATGTATTGAAGGCCTACTGGGTGCTGGTCCTATCTTAGCCGCTGCGAAAGCTGGATAGTCAAAGTCTCTGGCCTTCTGGAGTTTACAAAAACCCATATTATACTAATCACCAAACTGCTTTTTCTGCTTGAATGTACTGAACACATTGAGTATTTATTATATGAATCATAAATTGCTATCAGATAATATTTGGTATCATACTGCAAAATGTTTAGTCTTACATCTTGGGTACAAAATAATTACGTTAAAAATTGGTGTCAGCTTTTTACCATATGGATAATTATAATAGTAAAAAATTAATCATTAGTCATATCTAGTATTTGATAGACTGATTTATGGCTCACTGAGTCTGTTAAAATAGCCAGCCTGGTAGCACAGGTATGCATGACTAGAGAGACCACATATACTGGTCAATGCACTTTTTTTTTGTAAAGGCAGTCACAGCCCACACTGAATTGCCTGTCACATCAGGGATCAGCCATGGGTGTTGACACAGACATAGTCCTTGCCATCAGAAAACTCACAACATGAAAGAAAAAGATTTTTTTTTCTGTCCCAGTTTAATCTATTCTAGCTACCAATTCACAGGTCAGAGAATCAGGCTGTGTGTGTTTTCTATCTTATAATGCATTGCTACTCAAGACCAAAAAGCTGGTTATGTCTAAATTCATATTAAAGTGTGCGACACAATGCCCTTAGGTTTTGAGGGTTGTATATATTAACCTAGACTTGAAGGGGGAAGTCCTAGTGTGAAACATAATATGCCAGTAGCCATTAGAATTCAGGGGTTTGGTCTTGGTGTGGACATTAAATTGCTTTGTATGTCAGAGGCTGAATCTTATTTATTCAGCACAACATAAAATGATAGGATTCACTTAATCACTTTCTCAAGATTAATTCAAGTGGCTCTCTAATATATTTATGTCCCTTTTGCATTGTCATTATTCTTTTTTAATGGAGAGCTCTATTAGTACCACAGAGAAAATATAACTAATGCTTGTAGATTTTTTTAGGTAGGTGCAGAAAGAGTTTATGGTTTCATTGAGTCAAATATATTATTGTGACTAATTCAGACATCTCAAAAATAGTCTTTTCCTAATTATTTTTATACTTTTAAAGGATTCGCCACAAAGACGATGAACATTTATAAGCAGATTATTACAAAGTTTCAGACCATAAAATAAATAAGCAGGTGCTACCTAGCATAGGTTGCAGTTGAATTCCCGTTGTTTTATGAATATATTTTATAATACTCATGTCCAGTGTTACTCTTTCAAACTTGGGACTTTGAACATAGAAAATTTTCTTGGAGATTTAAATAGGCCCCTGACTAGATAACAGAATCGCAGAGATGTGGGGGACAGATGCTTTCATCTGAAACACTCTTTTGCACAAATTCTGAAACTAATTTGGAAGTGATAAAAATTAATTTGCGCACTCTAATTGGAATCAGCCTACTGCATGAAAGAAAGGAGAGCAGAGCAGGCAATTTGTGCTAAAAGCTGATTGAATTTTTTTGTCAGGTAGGTATCTTGGACTTGGCCGTTTATCCTCCTGAGCCCCTCTTTGCAATATATTACAACCCATCTCTGACTGGTGTTCTTTAAAAGGATCAATGCTATTCCTGTTGAATCCCTGGAGCCCAAAATTTCATTGATCTTGGGACTTGACATTTCTCATTACGTGCTGTAGCTTCCAACAAGATAGTCACAAGAGGGCCAAGTCAACATTGTTGTCTCTTCAGCAGACACTTAAAATACACTGGGACCTCAGCTCAAAATCCAATTTGCTTTTAGAGTGTGTGGTTGTAATGTTTATACCAGATATAAGGTGCTTGGTAGAGAGTCTGTCGATACATACTTAGGACATTTTTTAAATCATAGCGGTAGGAAGTTTTGGAAGAGAATTTACTATTTGTCTTTTCAGATCACATCTACAGATATTCATCGAGTGACATGCATAAGACATGATTT